TCTCGCTTTGTATTTTTGCAGATCGACACTTCCGGAACCTGCGATATCACATGTGCATTGCGCTGCTTAGTGCCATTTGCTCTGTGCTCTTGACCTTCCTTGTTATGTGTGATAAGGACGTCGGGTAGAGAATCAATGGCTACCTTAATATCATCAATGATCGGAGTAAATCGTGAAATTATTTAAGCTTGATTTTTATCTCATTCATTGCTGTCGAGCGATGGCCGATGATGTCGGATCTTTTGAAAAATGCATTTTCTCCTAGAAGGAAAAATAAACTGAAAAATGGTGTTGTGTCAGTGCTTTTCTGAGAGTGCTGTTCTGTATTGATCAGCTATTACATCATGGTGCTAATTTTTCACTTACGCTAAAGAGTGCTTAAGATTTTTTTTACAATGCACCCATAGTGTTTTCAAGTGTTTCTCTGTACTTACACCAGTTCTAATTGGAAATTTGGATTAATTGTTGTCAAGTGGATTTTCCTGACCCAGTGGATTACTGATTCGAGCAAGTTGGTGAGTGGTTTTTGTTCATTTTCTATTTTATGGAGCATGTTCACATAACATATGTCATCCGTTGTTACCTTGCATGATACAAATGTAGCTGGAGGATTCTCCTACACATGCGTAGTGGAAGATGATGACTATTCTGAGAATATTCTGAGTTTAGCTGCTGATACAGAATATTCTCTGATTATTAAAATGCTGCTCAAAATGTAGGAACATTATCGGAATATTCTCAGAACATTGGGTGCTATCTGGCTGGTGTGGCAGTTTCACCGTCGGTATGCTGTAATTAAATCATAGTCTGAGGCATAATGTAAAGGTGATGTTAATATGTAGTTGCACAACTAAGTGTCCCAGAGTTGTGTAGTCACATGTCTAGCGGGTAAAGGTAGGTACATAAACATATGCACCTATGCTTGCGGATACCCACTATTGCTCTGCAACTACACATTCATGGCGACTACTAACCGGTGACCACCTTGCAACTACCTTGCGAATACACTGCGCCTACTGATGACTACCCTTGACAACCATGTGACTACACTGCGACTTCTTACATATGCACACGACTATGCTATGTATTCGCAGCATAGTCGCAGCGTAGTCGTCTTTTTTACCAGGGCGGCGGCGGAAGTTAAAATTCTTAAACCACATTTACGTTTGTTCTTTCTTAATTTTTAGTTCAAATCTAACAAATGAAAGGCCTTGTCCACACAGAGACAGGTTTACGGAACTGAGCTTTCGCGCGGAGTTCCGTAAACTTTTACTAGTAGTGTTGTCAGGGCTCACGCAAAAAATGTGTCCAACACGAGTGAACACGTCTTCTCCCTTCTCCCTTCACCCGTGCACCCTTCTCCCTCCGGCACGTTCACTTGATGGTTTTCATTGATGTTTCAAAATGAATGAGAAGCGGGCGGCAAAATACACGCGGCCCATCGGCGGCAAGTAGGTAAATCCGGCCATGACAACTTTTAGCATAATTTGACGTGGATATCATAGTTTCCTCAAAAAAATTTTCCGAATTCTCTCTTCTATACTTTAATGTAGCCACCTTTACAACTCTAATCAGTCACACTAAGTGCAAATAATTGTATTTTTTGCCGATCGATGTTGGCACACGAGACAAAAAGGCTTGCCGCTAAAGATCTAAAAAATTGTCCACAGCCACAACTACCTACGTGATTAGCTCAGTTCTCCCAAAAACATTTCTCACAAGTACCCCCCCCCCCCCCCCCCCNAACTTAACCACATTTGCAGCAGTCATGACGAGTCGCACACCTTGCAAATCGCGTTTTTCTCCTACTGAAGTTACAGGCGAAGCACAAATGCGCACTTAATATCTTAAAACTTGTCCACGGGCATAACTTTTTGCATAATAGTTCAGCATAGGATCCAATTTTTAAAGTAATAATGTTGATCTCCATGCGTGAAGCAACTCCTGTTTGTCAGCACGCCTGCTGCTTTTCTACCCTGCGTTAAAGTCTCTCAAGTGATTCCCTTTCTCCCTCATCCTCCTTTCTTCTTCCTCTTTCCTCTTTATTTTATTCTAGTTCTTCCACTTCTTGCAGCCCAAAGGCACACCATTAAAAAATTTGACGCTATTCTGACTAAAGTTATCGTGTTCACAACAAATATTCGCCGTCAGAAACCGTCGAACTACTTTTTCGGGAGATGATGCCACAATTCGATCACGTAGGAGCTTGTGTTGCCTACACGAAAAATTGAAGGCGAACTGACATGACGTCGAAGTAACCTCGTCCCGTTTAGTTAAAATATTTCGTGTATAACCCAAAGAGCGTGCCATATATTTTCACGACGATGAACAATTCGACCATGTAGGAGCTGGTGTTGCCTACATTGCACATTGAAGGCGAACTGATGTAGCTTTAAAGATTCCTCTTCCGGTTCGGTAAAAAGCATGTGTCTTAGTGCTCTCTGATTGAGAATGCCATTTTACGACGAAACCAGTTTTTGAACACGTGGGATCTGGTAGGCTGGTCCTGGCGGATTAACCGGGGCTCTTCATTTAGTTAGTTAGTTAGTTAGTTAGTTAGTTAGTTATTATAATTTTAAGACATTCAGCGACTCAGGCTATTAACGTCTTCACAGATAATTTTGAAAATAGGAGTATAAACGAAAATTTAGATTTTTAAATTAAGAGAGGTGAAGAGTTTTAGAATTTTGGTGGTAATATTAGGTTCATCGCATGTAAGAGGGATGCGCTTATTAGTTAACATTCCGTACGTGCATAGTTAATTTTTCAATTAATATTAGATACAAATGATGAGTAAATGGAATGAAAGAACCAAATTATGTACTGTCCTGCCGTTCTAAGAAAAACGCCGCACGAACGTTCGTTAGTTGCGCTAAATTTCCACCCATGAAAATTTTATTTTTGAGGAAAGTTACTTATGAATATTTTTCCTTGAAATTTTCAGATCCTCTAGGTTAAATTGCGAACAAAATCGTCTGAAATTTTCGAGGAAAAATAGTCACCATTTTCACAGTAAATTCATTCTTTATTGAAGGAGATACGGCAACATCTGGAGGCTATAAGTCTAGTTCGCCTTCAGTAACCGAGATGACAATATGAGAGGCTTGAGAGCTCGAATCGTTGCATGCAGTAACGTAGCTTTGCCACTTTCGCTCCGTCCAGGAAAGGAATACAGAGTTGATTACTCGCCTTCGCCAAGACAAGGACAGGACAAAAAAGAACCTACCATTTCCTTGATTTTTCGTCAGAATAATGGAACAAGGTGCGCTCGATCTAAATTCCAAACTGGTGGCACTGGAAACGTTGAACGCCTGAGTGCAACTATTCGTGCTCGAGAGGTGCCCGGCTTGCATATGTGAAAAATTGAAGGCGTTTTGGCTGCGTTCCTCGTCTCAATACTGAGAATCTATCGCGTGGATTTTTGAAGTATAGGTAGTTTCATTTTTTAGCATTATAGCAAACCGGCCACGAAGCATTTCCGGTTTCGAGTATCGACGTTTAGTTGTATAGTTGTATATTGTTGAACTACCTAGCCTGAATGAAGTAGATTTTTTGATTGGGCCGCGTTAAATAGAAAGGAACCAAGCCACATCAGCTATTGCCAAATTTAAGGGGACGAATTAATTTTTTACATGAAAACGGTTGGGCGGATTTTCAAGCAAATTTCAGTGAATTTTCTGCATGGTACGACGCGAATTCCTTTAAATTTTCAAAGGAATCCGCACAAACGTTCTCTCCTAAAAAATTGACATGCCCAGTTAAATTTGGCAACAGCTGATGTGCCTTGGCTCCTTTCTGTTAAACGCAGTCCGATTTTTCATAGATAAAATAGGTAAAATGCCAATGCTAGTGCGCCTGAATGTCAAGTATTTATCTCGTGGATATTTCAAGGATAATTTTCTATTTAACAAAAAAAACAAAAACTCTAATGAGGCATTTGTAGTTTCAAGGTCCCATTTTGATTGACTGACCTGTATAAATAAAAATAAGATGTTATTGGTGGTGGAAAAAAAGTAAAATATGGTGCGATTAATTCTTATTATTTAAAATGCAACTTATTGGTGCATTAGAGTTAAACCCGGTTCAAATAATGTAATAATTGCATAAGTGGGAGGCGTTCACACATATTGCAATAATTGTTGTTTATATCATAGCCTCCTTCATTCTTTGCACACCATAAGTCTCAGAGAATTTGAATTTTTTTAAAAACCAATTCTTATCTCTATATCTTGCAATCTCTAACCCTTGATTTCACATGTTACTTCCAATGTGTGTGTTGATATGAGATCATATTTTCTTGGTGGAAAACGGGGGAATAACACGGTCCATCTCAAAATTGGAGAGCTAAACTGCATGGTCTTCCATCTTGAAGGGTCATTAATTTTTTTTTCCACCTTCCTATCACAACCTAAGATTACGAATGCACATTTCATGCACTTGTGAGGATTACAGGATGTTACAAAAATAACAACATTTTAGAGGGGAGATAAAAATCATAATTTAATTTAAAAGAGATTACCTATTCTTAAACATTACAAAAATCACAAGACGCTTCAATATACATAATTACAAAATATGTAAGAGTGATAAGACTGACAAACAAGATGCATCAGTCAGATTAGGAGGAAACATTACAGATTCAGATTGAGAGAGTTGTCTTCATAAAAAGTAACCATTCTTGAGTGCGGTCTTTTATGGAGTCAGAGAGTGGCCAAGAATGATTGCTCATGTGCAAAATCACCATCAGTATTCATGGTCTAAACAATATATCGACAGTGAAACTTCCAAGTCACGTATTTTGGTTTGCAATGTTGCAGATTTTCTGTCATGCTTTATTTTTAAAATAAAGCACAACTCAACGTCAATTTTAAAAAAACTCTGTGATTTTTCTCCTCTCTTTGAGATAAAGTCTAAACGAACTTCAAGGAATGATGTTGATTAGTATTCCTTAAAAAAAAAATGTAGCGGAGACTTTTGAGCACCGTAAACGAGATACATGATTTGGAGTTTCACTGTCGAAATATTTTCATCCTCATACCCGTAGAATGGGAATATCAACATTGAAAAGAAGATAGTTGACGTATAGTCGAATGTATTAAAATATAGGCCAAAGTCATCCGAGAGGAAGATGTGCTTGGCATTCTCAATACCACCTAGTAATCTGCAGCATTGCTGGCGAGATAGTCCCTTCTTCCAATGTTTGAGGCTTGCTTGTTCTGAACGGCCTCCAGCTTTGGACAGTCCGTAATTCTATGCCCAAGACCACCACAGTAACTGCAGCCACGCTCGTCTGAAAAGCAGTGAAAAGATTGCTTTAAAAATCTGTTTTTATACTAATTTTTGTTTTTGTGTTAACAAATCATATTTAAAAATATTGTTACTATTACGAGAACTAAATGACTTTCATCTATCACCGAGAATTGAATTTACAAAGGTATTAAGAAACTAAGTAACGGAAGATGATACAGATTATCCAGAAGAGCAGGAATTTTGAAACTATCTGTCTTTTGTTTTGAAAACTGGTGTGTAAGATTACCAGTTTGATTAATTTACTTTGATAGATGAAATTATTCTTTCAGGGGTTTTCTGCCCTTTACAAAGAGGTTTGTTCTTTGAATATGATGAGTCCTAGATTACATAAGATTATGCTGAGCTAACAAACAGCTGGTGTAGAAAAAACTAAAAATTAATGACAATAGAATTCAGTCGCTCATTTTGTGGGGAAAAAAAGGGGAAATATTTAATGAGAGCATTCCCTTTCTGAATACTTTGATCACTATGGTTAAAATTGTTAATGGATTGATATTCATCTCAAAGTTATAAGTTAAGACAAAGAAACACACATACCGTAGCACATGCTCATTAAATCAAAGAAATCTATTCTTTGGAAATTCTTACATATTCATGCTAGGGTCATTCAACGCACGATTTCATGGCATTTTACTTCAGAAAATCCTTGAAAGATTAAATTTAGCCCACTAGAAGATATTAGGTATATTGATAAGCAAAGGTACATACCTCCAAGATAAAGATATTTCTCATTCTCTGATTGTAGTTGCGCCAGAAATGGAGGAACTTTCTGTTTGGCTTCGATTAGTAGATGCTTGAGATCAAGCAAGACTGATTCATCGTTTGACTTGTTGATGAACGTGGTAGCTATTCCTGTTTTTCCAGAGCGACCTGTACGACCAATTCTGTGGACTAAAAATTAAAATTTATTATATTAGACTCTTTTTTTTAAACAGGCAGCATATTCAACAAGAACAACAACTTCAAACTTCAGTTGTACAAATTCACAGTTACTGAAAACCAGGGGTGCAGAAAATGCTCGATCTCACGATCCTAGGATCACAGGAAATGTGCAACAAACCTTGGATCATGAGGAAATTTTAAAAAATGATGACTATTGTACATTGCGTATTACTCTAAATTATTGTGGGACTAAATTTTACATTTTGGAGAAATAGTGGGCGTTCGGCCACTTTGGACATTTGGCTTTGAAGATCAGAAATATGACAAGGAGGCAAAAACATCCGATTGAAGCAAACGGTCAGCATTTTGGAACTTTTTGCACTCCTGCTGAAAACTTTTGGCAGTAATTCAAATAATTATTATAATAAGACAAACACCAAAGCATGGGGGCAAGTGTTAAGCGATCATTTTTTTTCTTTAAAAAGAAGAAACTTCTGATAAAATATGATAATTGAAGAAATAAATCAGGAGGAAACTTCAAAACTCACCATAATTTTCAACATCATCTGGCATATCATAATTAATGACATGTTGTACATCAGCAAAATCTAACCCTTTGGAAGCGACATCAGTTGCAACCAACACATCTTTCTGACCATTCCGATACGCTTCTACAGCTTTTGATCTTTCTTCTTGGTCTGAAAAATGGAGAGAACAGAGGTGAAGTGAAAGGTTATAAAATATTTCAAAAGCGTTACAATGCTCACATCCTTACTCCTTTGATGAGAAACACTGATATTTCATCACAAGAAAAGACGACTACATTTACGTATTCATCTCTTCAGCAAATGCATGGGTCCAATATTAGGTTCTCAAGAGCAAACTATGATAAATTTATTAACAATTTACTCAGATGAATAAAAAATAAAACCTAAACTTTAGAGACATAATGTATTATCAAGGATGTCAGCTGCAATCTGACCCCATTATTTTTGCAATAAATCAACATCTCTCTTAACAAACGATACAAAATAAACCATGATTTACCTTTGCCTCCGTGGATTGCTACAGCTTCAACACCTTTTAGAAGTAAATATTCATGAATAGCATCTACATCTTGCTTTTTCTCTGCAAATATTAACACCGGGGGCGCTGTTTTCTGAAGACACTCCAACATGTAAACGATCTTAGCTTCTTGTTTGACATATTCAACTTCCTGTGAGACACATTGAAATAAATTGAAAAATAAAATTTGAAATCAAATAACCAATATGAAATAAGAAACAAATATGAATGAAAAAAGAAGAACAAAAAAATACCTACTAAAATACAAAAGACCTGTTTGTCAAAAAAATTTCGAGTTATTCAGTTTTATTTATCCACACGTCAGTCCTGTAAAAATTTGTCATCACTACAATGATTTGAACTCAGGACCATCGACCTACCTTCAATCAGATGTACTGACTACTAAACGAACCTTGCCAGGGACTGTTCCCCCCCCCCCTTCAATAGCTCAATTTTGATAGTGTTTTTCATAATGTCCATTCAAATCATTTAATCTAATCGTTGAATTTAAGAAGTCATTTATCCTGCACCCTTCATCAAAACTGTCAAAACAGAATCTTTCATCAGGATCAGTACGTAAAACAAGAAGATATCTTACCTGAATAACGTTCAATGATGCTGCTCCAGCACGCCCAACATTAATTGTGATTGGTTTAACCAAAGCTGAGCGAGCAAAATTTTGAATTTTCTTTGGCATAGTAGCTGAAAAGAGTAGAGTTTGCCTTTGGCTCTTAAAGTATGAAAAAATTGTTCGCACATCTTCTTCAAAACCCATGTCAATCATCCTATCAGCTTCATCCATGCATAAGTAGCGGCAAACATCAAGACAGACTATTTTCTTGTCTAACATATCCATTAACCGGCCGGGAGTGGCTACCATTATATGAACACCCCTGAGAAATTTAAAAAAAAAAATAAAAATTAAGTAAAAAGAATTGTTTGGTCAATTTTGTGTTTCGATTCCTTGGGAAATCACAATATTTTGATTTAAATGGTCCATAAGTATGGAATGTGCGAAAGTTTTCATAAATCTGTGAAATAATAGAGACACAGGAGGCAAAAAAATTGAGATCTAAATTTTGAGAAACGCAAGCACTGCAGTCTTGAAAAGCATTTTAACGCATATTAAAGTTTTCAAGGCACCAAACTCCAGACAATTCACAGAAAAAAATATTACAAATTATGTTTGAAGAAATTACAAAGTTATGGTAGACAAAGCGTGTACTTATTAAACATTACCTCTTCATTACGAGGAATGCAACACCTGCATTCAGTAAAATCATATCAATACCACTGCACTTTCGCTATTTGTTGACACCTTTCACCCAAAAGTATTCACATTTTCAGCTCTATCTATGAGAGGGATCAGAACTACAACTTATAAACTTCCCAACAGAGAGCGCACCAATTTTCTTACAGAACAAACTAATTTCTGTTCCTGGTATTGAATTGGTTAATAAAACTTTTCAAGGCTCTATAGAATATATTACACTAACTGAAAAACCGGGAACATAAGATGGAAAATGCGTAGCAGATGTTTGAATGTAAGAAAAAAAGTCACTTCACCTGCTGATAACGTCAGTTGCCTCAGAGACAGGAGCTCCACCAATAGCTAAACAGCACCTGATGGCCGGTAAACCATCATTTTTTATATGTTGGGCATAGTAGTTGATAATATCATGAGTTTGCTTGGCTAATTCACGGGACGGGCAAATTATTAATCCTGTATTTCTCAAGACAAAATGAAAAAAAAAATTAATATAAGTAGGCTTCTTGTAATGTGAACATGAAAAATAAAAAAAAAATCCCATATCAATAGTGAAACTCCTGAACCATGTAAGTTGTTTGCGGAGTTTAAAAATCTCCGATCCCATTATTTTGTTTTGAAGGAGAACAAATCAATATCATTCCTTGATGTTTTCTCAGAATTTTATTCACTCACAGAAGAAAAATCACGGAATTTTTCAAGAATTCACATTGAGCAGTTTTCCACAGTATGTCATAGAAAGTCTGCAACATAGCAAACCAAGACACTTGGTTGAGAAGTTCAATCAATACGCACTTGCAGTAAAAAGTTCCTTTCTTACTGAGAAAGGAGAAAGAGAAAAAAACATTTTTTTAAAACGCGTATCAATGGCATCGTTTTGAGCTCCCTTGAACATACCTACATTTGATACATTGATAGCTACTAGCATTCAAGCTAACAATAAATGTGAAAAAAAAAAATCATCATCACTTAAAGAGGCTCATTACTATGAAAAATTGCTTATCTTATACATCAGAGTTTCACTTCACCTAGCTAAAATATTGGGATTACTATAAAGAGCCTTTTTTGGATCACTCTGACGAAGAATTGTAATTAAATTATCAGGTTTGAATAAAAATTAAAATCAGATTATTAGAAAACAACTCAAGGATAAACAAAAAAGACTCCAGCGCCAGCGTCCAGGCTCCAGTTTCTTTGGATGCTACATAAAACCTTAAAACCTGACTATAAAAAAATTGCATGGTTCTCAGCTCATTCCCGATTTTTGGAGCTTAGGATACCACACTTCTTCTGGAGTACAGAAAACGATTTAGCACTGTGATTAAAATGCAATAACAATGAAGGTAGATACAAGAAAATTGAAAATCATCATACCATAAGGGCCCTCATTCTTCATGAATGGAAGTTTGTATTCTTGTTCCAAACAAAACATCATTAAAGGCAGAATAAAGACAAGAGTTTTACCACTACCAGTGAAAGCAATGCCTATCATGTCACGCCCAGCTAATCTACAAACATAGAAACAGATACATTTTCAACTTTGAAAGGTTTTTGCAAGTGTACTTGGGTGTAGGCATGATGGTAAATCAAATGATGCATCACTGCCTGACAAATGGTTCAATTTTTAAATTCCTTCCCAAATATGTGAAAATAGTGTTAGATTTAAAAAAGCTACAGGTAGAATCCTGAAGTCTCTTCTACAAAATTTGCATTAGGAGTCAAACCATCAGTTGAGTATTGGAACTTTTGACAAGTCTATTGAGAATTAATTATCCTATCTCATTTAAAATGTCTGCAAAGATATGTTATTGCTATGTAATAGTTGAGTTGAGAGTCCATGTTAAAGCTTATAAAAGACTACTTGGACTACATTTTGCAATTAGGAATCACTATTTCTGGCTTGGTTTAGAAACAACGTATAAACCATTATTTTCCCTACATGCGCAAGCGTTTTTACAGATGAGCCAGACATTGTAGTTCCAAATTGCAAGATGTAGTCCTGTACTTGGGCGTGTAGAATGTGCTCCTAGGAGGGGGAAATTAAATTGGATTGCATTTTGCAAAAATGAAGTATGTACCTATAATTTCTGGCTCATCTTGATAACAGCATATAAGCCATGAGTTTTCCTACGCAGATAGGTGCTTTTATGGATGAGCCTGAAATTGTAGCTCTTAATTAAAATGTCTAGTCCATTTTCTGTTCACAAAGTTATTTTCGTGTAAAGTACTATATGACAGTGCTTATTTTTGGTTGATATAACCTTGACTGCGCTCGTTTTTTTTTTTTTTTCGTTAGAATTACTCCAACCTGTGGAACTGTGTAACAGTGCGTAAAGAAAATTTGCCTTCTGCTCGTGAAAGCATACACTGAAGAACTTTCTGCCCCTCATGCTTGTGTTCCCTTCTGACAAGCACTCAAGTTTGATTGTCATTTATGAGCAGATAAAAAAATAGGTATTAACTGAGAAATTAGTCTACTTACACTGCAGGTATTCCTTGTATTTGGATTGGCGTTGGTTTCTTGATGCCTTTTGCCTCCAGGCCATGAATTATGGCTGGATTAAGCTTCATTTCTTTGAACGTACGGCATGGAGGGGGCACTTCATCTCCTTCGACTAAAATGTGTAATTTTTCCCTAATCTTGTTCCTTTTTGCTTCAGATAATAGAAGAACACACCTGGGAGCTCGCCAACTGCCAGAATAAAAATATAATGGTTTAATATCAGTTCATAAATAGAGCTTCAGAAATTCCTCAGTCTAGAGAGTTTTCCATAATATCACCTACATTAAAGTGGGCTTTACTAATTATTACAATTAGATGCTAGATTTAAACCACTTACATTTTCTTCAATGGCATGGATTTGACCGTTACAGTAAATCTACTTCATCAGACATCATCATGTATCTATAGTACATCTCTTCCTCTTCATAAATCCATTAATTTTTCGCACAGTTTTTGAAACATACTTGCTTAGTACTTTGGGAGAAAATTTGAAAGACCATATTACTAACATCTACAAAAATGATAATGGAAGAAACACTTTAGGAGGCAAAGAAGGAATATCGATTGCCTCAGAAGTTCTCTAAGTAATTGTTACCCGAACTTTCAAAGAGATTCTTCATTTACAATTTCAGTAATGGAAATAAATTAAACAAGACATAATGAAATTCTTTCAGAATAATTCATTCATAAAATGCTGAAGTGTATTCCTTGTGAGATGAGCAAAAAAATTTGACTGTGCGCAGAAATTAAAGACAGAACTCTAGTGCAGTCAAGAAACAGTAAGAATGCTGATTGGATTTGACAACTTCTGATGAGAAAACTATTTACTACATGAGTGAGGAGGATCTCACTTCTCTGCTTCGGACCATTATTACTTGCTGTGTTTTGAAGCAAGAGATCACAACCTAGTTTGATAATTGGCAAATATGATACTTTTCATAGCAAATAGATATGTAATAGATAGATAGTATTTTATTTGACCCAGACTTTTGGGTTTGTAAAACGAGTTCTTGACATTTTTAACGTAAAAAAGTTTAAAATTTATAAAATATTACAAATGGTTTTTTTTACAAAAATTACAAAAAGTTAAATATTAAACATGTCTCTGATTATCAATGCATTCTTAATTTTATTCGTTTAGAATGAACGACCTTACTTTCATTGCAGATTGAAATAGCAAATGATTTGAAATGACAATTTCAGGGGAGATTAAAATTCTGAGTATCATTTTTTGAAGAACCGCAAATCATTATGAAATGGCTTTACTCTTAAAAGTAACATTACCAACCTAGGATAGTCATGTATATTTAGAGACCAATATCCTACTTCTTCATGCTGTCAGTTGTTCATCTCTCTATTTCCCATTAATTTAGTTCCGTTTACTCTTGTAGCTTTGTTGGATCCTGATTTCTAATTGATTTGATAGTTCGTCAAATTTTAAATGTTTTCATCATCCAAAAAGTATGATATAATAGAAACACTTCTTCATGAAATATATGATCATTGACTGAATAATGTTTTACCTTGTCCTGATTGGATTCTTGTACTCTATACCTTTCGCCAATTCAGCTACACCCATAAGAGCTTTCCTCTCTGCTACACTTTCCAAAATTTTTTCTTCTTCTTTCAGTTGTTTTTCCATTGCACTTTCTTTTTTGGCTGTTAAAAATAAAACATAAAACGAATTCATTTCTGATTTACTAACTATATATATCATGATAAAAATTCACAAGATTAAAGTTCAACCCCTTGAGTTGATGTTGACTCGGTCCTTTATGTTAAAAAGAAATCGTCTTCAACTTATTCTCAATTTGAGGAAAATGGAATCGAGGTATTATTAATAATTTTTTTTTTTTCAATATTATTTTTTTTCTGATGAAAGTCTAGTCCACATAGGCTCATTACTTGCATAATCAGTATTGACAAGGAAAAATAAACTTCTTTGAGGCCCTCTAAAATGATGAAGAAGAGGAAGATTAAAAAGACAAAGTTTGGTATTTTTTGTCATGCTTTAATGTTTCCTCCCATACGTAAAATTTAAATCTTTAAGCTGTCGGAAAAAAATTCAAGGATGTTGAATTACCCTCTGCCATTTTCTTGAGCTCGGTGTGCTGATCCAATAAACTAATATTAGATTTTCGTCCCAAAATCTGCATATCTTCGTCATCTTCATCATTTTCACTCGATGATTTTGTTTTTTGCAAAGTTTCTCCTTTGAGCTGAAACAAAAGAAATTGCAGCATTTTGAGAATGAACGCATTTTCAAACAAGCAACAACTAAAATACTTAACATAGATAAAAAATGGAAATTCACTTCCTGAACAATACTCTAATAAAATGGATCCCTAAAATGAATCAAATAGGTGACAAAAATACCTGATTCCCAAAGTGACCACCAGAAGATGTATTAGGATTTTAAACACACAAATAGCTAAGTAAGTCCTAAACCAAGGAAAAGAGAATTTTTTACTGATCTGTGAAACTAGTCAAGTACTTGATTTGGGTATGGCTGGGTGTCCTGAAGATCCAGCAGAATGTTTTGGCAAAACATTTCCTCGCATGATAAATCATAGTGTAAGTAAGTAAAATGCAAACAAATGTCATGAGGTTCTCTGAGGCGGCTCACCAACGATTTCAATGTTCCTCCTCTTGTCTGTACAGTGTACACTCACTATGAAGAATTCATAAAAAAAAAAAAATTCAACAGATACTTTGATCCCCTAAATTGTGTATCACACTTTAAAAAATACAACTTAAAATTTTTACCTGAGTCAATCTTCCAAGATTAATCAACTGGGCTTTCTTGCGATCCTTGACTGGCACATATGGAGTGTAATCATCATCTGACTCTGAGGATTGAGATGAGGACTCTCTCCGATATTTCTGAAACACGATTCATGAATATTTGTAGACTACCTAAGGTGAGTTATAAATATGAGAGTGTTATTGTTCAAAATAAGGGAAATCTTTCCCTGTGTTAAGTAAATAAATTGAAAGTGCCTAGGTGAATATTGTAGCTCAACCAATATACTTATTATCATCTTTACATCATCTGTCAGCCTTTAAATTTTGTTATCTATTTAGGTGCAAGTTTGTGGTGAATTATTTAATCTGATGGCCGGTGTTCGAAACTCACACGCGCCAACATGCCATTAGCGCCTAAGAAATCTGTCATGGCGCCTAAAAAAAGAAGGCTCTGCGCCAACGTTGCCCCTAAAAATTGCCCCTCTCCCCTCCAAAAAAATCCTAATTTTGCTGTTTGGTGATTTTTCGACATTTCCCCCAAGTTACAGTCACTAGTTCTGTAAATAAAATATCTTGCGTCTGACTTTTCACTAAATGTGCCTTTGTACATAGGCAAAAAGTCAATTTGGCCCCTAAAAAATCTTCAATGAAAAAATCAAGCTTGATGCGCCACATGGCTCCTGAAACTTAAAGGAGAGTTTCGAACACTGCTGATGGCTTGAATGCAAAGTCCTGAAGTGCATTCGTGATAGACAGCGAGCCTCTAGGATATTACCCAGGGAGAGCATGGCAAGTTTGACGATCGTTCACTTCTGTTGAGACAACATTTTTAACCCAGTGACTGTCATGACGGTTCTCGCTCACCGCAACGGCGCAGCACTTTTAGCAGCTGGAGAATGGAGCATTGAGCGTAGAAGAGTTGATGACAGTGGTTGTATCCCAGTTGGACAAAGGGTAACTCCTTGAGCAATTCATCAATATAATCCCTGTTGTCTATCACAAACGCACCATAATACTAACTGCATAGAAGTTGAAAACGAACTTTCAACTACAACTTATGATGAGGGATGAGTACAGATGAGCGCAGGCCAAACAATGATGAGTCCTATTTGAGTACTTCTTCAATATAATAAAAAATTAAAATATGCAAAGACCAAACTGCATGTTGATCCTCAACCAAAAATATAATATTCAGAAAAAGAGGCAGGCGGACTTTACCTTTCGCACCGGCACACTATCAGTCATGATTTATTTTTGTAAATAACGAGCAATTACAAAAAAACACAGTGACAGCACAACACTGCACTTTTAATAAAGTATTCTAGGACGAAAATCCTGCATTCTACGGTTAGATAAACACAATTTTATTCATTCCACACTTGAACATTAGAATGATGAGCTTCTCATTTTTTTTATCAGTTTGTTTTGTTTACTTCAGCGAGGTTAGGTTTTCACAGTGCAACGTTGTCGGATGTATTTATAATTAATGAGCAATCTGACATCTACGCCATGCCATGTCAACATAAACAAATCGGCTTCCCACCTACTAGGTTAGATTTCTTATCAGAGACTGCTTTGAAACCATAGAATAATAAAGCTAACGCCTATAGAAGAGTCACTCGCGTAAGTGGCCGTTGTGACTCTCGCCTGCTGTGTCCAGGTTTGGTTAGGTCCCGTTGCCCTATACTTTTCTGAACCCGCCAGCTCTTTGCAAGGTTGTCAAATGTAATAGTAGGGCCTAGCTGATTGCAGGGTNAAAAAATTCCGCGCGCGCAAGAAAAGGGTTTTGACACTAACGGCGTTCCATACGTAATACCCATCAGTTTAAGTTGCGGCTTTCATGGATTTTTTCATCTCTGAGGAAAAAATTCAAGATGAATACGAGGCACTGTGCAAGGAAGAGGTAAGTATATTAGGTTTCTTTCAAGCTAAAATTTTGTGTTTTATCAAAACAATTTTCTTTTTATGATCGAAAACATGTTATAAATAGAATCAGACAAAATGGGATGTAATGAAGTTTAATCTCAAGGGAATTGGATATGTTTACATCCATTGTTGGTTTGAAAAGTAAAAAAATCATAGCAGCAATCGCTCTGAAATTATTGGTTGTTGGTATCGCCATTGCCTACAAGAATGGAGAGGCCGTAACTACTCGGTTTCTTGACGTCAAACTAGTAGAGGAATCACCATGTTAACCAATCAGAGCTGCCGTCAATCGGCCAAAGTTGCATGAGCGGCTCGTTTGAATCTTTGTAGGGTAACGATTTTTGGTACTTAGTCGTGTTCAGCCTATATTTCCTCCTTTATCAGACAATTTAATTTATGAACTAGGCTGTTTTCTGTTGTGAAATTTTATCTTCTTTCAAAATGGTTCTTATGAATGTTTGCATCACATCAACCCCTGAAAAGATATTAGCACAAAAGGAACATGAGTCATGCTCCTATGAGAATACATGTTAAATCACAGCCGAGTTTTATCTACTAGCGTGACATCACAGAATCGTAGTTACGGTCTCTCTATTCTCGTAGGCAATGGTATCGCTTGATGTCGACAGAGGTCAATAATCTTCCAAGCGTTCCACAAATTTCTAGATCGAGATTGAGCACCTACCAAGTAAAGTGATGTTTTTTCCCCTAAGTATGAGTGAAAATAGGAATGCTAATTTATCAAATCGATCCGAAGATCCACCTCAATTGTTTTTTAGACAAAGCTCTGTATGATTCTACGAAATGGGCAGAGGACAGAATCACAATTTTGCAGAAATGTAATGAGATTTTATAATCTGATTTTGAGGGCTTTCCAAGTTTTTGCGTGATGTGGAAGATTAGCAACCCTTAGATGTCAACACTTCTCTCGTTTCATTCTCTTCATGTAGCTGCTGTTCAGCCCAGGTGAAACTTTGGCACATCAAGGTGATCAGTTTTTTACCTTTGCCCAAGATATTTTCTCTCTTGAATCAAATTGAAGTATCTCTCTACAGGTCTAGGTGGGAAAGATGAACTTTGAATTAATGTCGAATGAATAGAAGCACTGCGTGCATTAATTCTAAGGTTAACTCTATCATGATGCCGTCTGATCATTTGGATCAAATTCTGCGAATCTTAATTCAAAATGGTAAGCATGTGGCTGAAAATAAATTATTTCATCTGCAGGATGAAGTGGACAAACAGTTGGAGAAACTTCTCTCAAAGAAAACAGGATTGGATGGGAAAATACGGGACATTGCAAAAGCCATTCCCAACCTAGACATTGTAAACTCCGATGCAAAGCAGCTTGCTGAAATGGTAGCAGTAACTTCAAAATTAGCAGAAAATGTCAGTGCCAAAGTGCGTCAGCTAGATATTGCACGGGTAAGAACAGCATTCCTTTTTTATTAGATTTTTCATTTTTCCTCTAAGTCATCTCGTCCTCCCAGAAGCCATATCAATAGGCACATATTAACTTTGTGCCTTTGTTAATTCTAAGACAGCAGTTGCTATTCAAGTAAAGTTGTTATTTTCAAGGAGGTAATTACCTAAGTGCCGCAAGTGATTTGTCTCCTTTGGGACCTGGGATGTGTAGAATAAAATGAAAACCTTTCTTTTTAAAAGAAAATATTATTGATGTAGATGTTGCAAATTGTTTCGCAACCTATGATTAGCAGTCTAATGGATATTTCCGCAATTTGTTATTAGTCATATTGCATTGTCTGCAACTTTTTGGGTCTGACTATGGTGAGCCTGAGTCAAACTACACGTATCTTTGACAGGATCGCTGCAAATTGTAGCTGATACCTTATTCTTTAAAAAAGATCTGCAGTTTTCATCAGGGTTTTTCTGTGAAACCGCTTCATCCATTTGAAAATATTTACAGAAAATTTTGATGAGACATTTTCCTTAGTTCCCTCTATAAAAAACAAAAAATGATAGGCGATTTTGTGATGGATACAATAGAGGTAAACATTTTTTAAATTAGGCTATTGGTATCGACAGATTTTGTAATTTGCTAATTTCTATAGAATCTAATCTTATCAAGACAATCTTTATTATCACTTTCATTTATTGTATGTCCCCTGCACAGATTATTGATTTTTTTTTTTTTTTAATTGATTTTGTAACAATAGGGAAGAGTCTCTGAATGCCAGCAAAGAGTTCATGATCTCCTAGACCTACAACTATGCAGTGATGGGGTGCAAGCAGCCTTACGAGCCGAAGACTACGAGAAAGCTGCCGTTCATGTTCATAGATTTCTCTCAATGGACCAGCATTTATTGAAGCAGACTGCAGATGACATGGCACAAGGTCTTAAATATTTTTTTTTTTTTTTAAGAAGTTTGATCTTACCTTGTTAAAAATCAAGGTAGTACCTTTAAAAACATGAAGAAGTGTCTTCCATAACATCTCGTCTTTCTTATCTTGACTAAATATCTGACAAGATGACACTGCGGGAATTATTTCTAAACGGGACCTTTGAGATAAAAAAATCAACTTTACTTGTGTATGGTAAAACTTTTTGCACCGAATAGGAAAAATCCTCAATTTTGTGAAATGAGTTCACTTTTCATTTCAAATTCCTAGTTTCGCAAGATTTTTCAGTTCTTATATGGGAGTTACACTTGTTGTGCGGTCCGTTTTCTTCGTGAGATTTTGAAGAGAAAACATTTGGTATAATACTTTAATTCAAACCTTGTCTAGACGCTAACTACCCATGAAAACATGTTTCAGATCAGCAGATCTACATCCTGTATTTTCCATTAGTTTGTCTATGAAGGTTCGTGACTTACCTTTTTTGCTCATCCTTGCGTACCTTATTTTACCCAAACTGTCAAAGCAAAATTTAATTTGGCTCCTAACTTCAACTTTTTTCACAGATTGCCAAACTGTAGCTAATTCTTTACGTCTACTAAGAGAAGCTGCCTCAAAACTGAGAGACATTGTATCTGAACAATTTCAAGCAGCTGTCTCTGTTAATGACTTGGCCTCCATCGAACGTTTCTTTAAGATCTTTCCTATGCTGGGCATGCATGCATATGGACTAGACAACTTCTCGAAATATCTATGTTCTAAGGTAAGTTACGTATTCCTCAACCCAGGGAAAGTTAAGTCTCAAAGAAGACTGCAGAGAAGAACTGTATCACTTATTAAAGCAAAAAAATTTAACAAATCAAGTTGAAGTGATTTTATACTTTTCTCTGATGTTAAAGAAGAGCAAAGAAAATTTGACAGTGAAAATATAATGCTGCATAGTGAAATCATTGTCCATTCCTTTCCAATTAAACAATTGTACGTTGACCATGCTGATCTTCATGTTACATGTGCTGGGTTCAACATCAATGTTGAAACTGCAAAAGTGTGTGTCGTGATTTTGGACGGTTTTGAGTTTTCTATACCAACAAGCTGTGAGAGGCGTCTTTTGTCTACCATCAAAATATTTTACTCAATTATAATTAGTTATTAAGGTCAATATTTAAACATAATAGGTTCAGTCTTTGCCATGGAATGTGGCGAATAATAAATGAAGTGAAAAGATCTACTCTACTTAGTACTTTTTTAAGGGTTAAATAATGTGTTAATTGGCTCATTGGAATAATACAAGTTCAATGGAGCTTATAAATATCCCTTCATACATTTATATCAAACCAGTCTCTTTATTCCAGTCCTCAGCAGTTGCCACTTTTCATGGTAAGGGCTGTATGCTGTATCATCTTTTGTTTTGTCTGGATTGCAAGTCTTTTGAAGCAATTTTTTGTTTAAATTTATTTTTAACTGATACAAATTTATGTGTTGTTTTGTTTGAATAGATAAAAGATAATAGCAGCACTAAGTTACGAGCAGCATTAAGTGTCAAAGAATCTGAAAAACATTTTTGCATAGTTTTTGCTGACTGTATCACCAGTTTGTTTGAGTATGTTGCCCACACACTTGAAATTCACCAGCCTTTGATTGAGACATATTATGGTAAGTAAGCAAATAATAAGTATATCATCTTTATTATTAAATGCATGTATTGATTCATTTCGTACAGAAGACTTTTGGAGCAAACCAATCAAGCTGTTAGGTACGTAATTCAAGAAAGAAAAACCTACCGATTCTATTATGTCTATACCAATTTTTAGTTTTGTTCATAGTATACAAGAAATCCCTGGGCAGATATGCATTATTTTTCTGTTTATTAATTGAAAGAAGAGAACTGAAAAACCGTTTCCTTGTTTGTTTTTTTTTTCTTCTTAAGTAAAAGTAACCCTCTCTTTTTCTTAAACCCTCGTCAATCTACGTACAAACACAAAATGTTAATTTTCAAATATGTACCTCTTTACTCTATTCAAATGTATCCAGCAGTTTTTTCTGGTCCTTTAAAAGCTGATTCATTAATCACATCTGTATTTTTATGTTTAAGGTTTCGGGTATCTAGTGAAAATGATGGAGCACCTACAAGAAGAGTGTGATCGCCAAAGTAAATTAGTTTTAAATGAATTTTCAAGAGTTAGAAATTTAAGTCGTAGAATTCAAACAGTTAAAGAACTTCTAAGAGGAGTGTCGAATCCAAAATTAGACCGCATTGATCCGAAAGATTTAGATGCTCTTCTGAATGAGATCACTGCAATTCATTCTAGGTATCAACTGTATTCTCGATTTGTCAAGCGGAGAATAGTGGTGAGTGTTTGAAAATTTTAAGTCAGTACCATAGCTATCTCTTTTATATTTCATCAAAGAAACCTTGGTGGAGGAAACACCTGTATCAGTCTAATTAGGTTTAACGTTGATCTAGCTCTTGTCACTAGAATGCAGTTCAAAGAAAACTCAGCATATTATTTGCAGTGAGCTTCACCATCGAAGGAATGCACCAAAGGAAGACGTAACTCAAAAGAATTACAACTTTCTAACTCAGCTTTGTAGAAACAAAGCCATAAATATTTGTGAGCTGTAGTTTAGAAGAATAGAGTTTAGAACTCACAAACAAAATGATTGAATACGTATTTTATTATTTTTTCTCATTTTCAATGAGTATAATAAGTGCTTGGTTTGTAATACTTTACTTAAATATTTTATTCTACAATTGATTTCATGGAGAGTCAATCCTTAGATGTGGCTCATTCATGTAACAGAAGAGAGCAGAAATAGTGTTTGTTTTGTAAGTAAGGCAAAAAGTAATTGTTTTACAGCTCTCAGAATCCTTAGTCTCCATCAGAAAAATAACTTTGGTTAAATTTTCTTTGTTTCAGGCGGATCTAGAGGCGGCTGGCAAAACTGAGGATGAGGCAATAAGTGTACTTAGTGATAATGATCTATGTAAATCCATGCAAGAATTGATAGGCCAATATATTCTACTAGAGCATTATTATATGGAAGAAAGTGTGAGGAAAGCAGTATCCATGGATGTCCTAGATAATGGAGCCATGACTTCCAGTATGATTGATGACATATTTTTCATCGTTAGAAAATGTATCAGGTAATAAACCCATTGTAATAAGCAATCTTATGCTCATTTCAGTCTCCATGCAATCTTTCGAAAAAATTACATCTTTCTAAAAGTTTTGTCCATTTATTTAAAAACTTCCTAAAAGTTAAAAACTACAGTCGATCTGTATAGAGTTTTTTAAACACTTTGTCCTCAAAACTTACTTAATAAAGTACTTAACCTAAAATAGTTTCCTTAAACATGAATTGTAACAATTTTTCTAAGAGTTACTTTTTTAAATCCACAAGTTTTTTCCTAGTATTTTTGATAGTCATTGCTGCTAAAGCATGAGTACTTGTGTACTTGGCCTCGTTCTGTGAATTACATACGTTTAACTGATCTAGAATCTGAGGAGGATCTATCTGCCAAGTAAGTCCTCTGGGTGAATTAATTGGCTCCTAAATTAAATGTCGGATTCACACACATTATTGAGATCAGGAGAGCTCTAAACGAACACCAACCACAAGACAAATTTTTTGTAAAATGTCATGTAATATTATGCAGCCTTATTCAAAAAAGCACCGGAATATTTAATTCAGTTGTTTGTTCAAGTAACTTAATATTCATTTTCCTTTCTTACTGAGTACATAATTCCAATCAGGATTAATTTTTCTTACAACCAAAGTCTGTTCTGCCTTCTTTTATTATCCTTTTATTTACTGTTCATGTGTAGGCGAGCTGGTTCGAGTTCAAGCATTGATGGAGTGTGTGCTGTAGTGAACTTTGCCGTAACTGTGCTAGAAACTCAGTTGTGTTCAGCAATCAAGCAGGTTTTGAAGCAGGGTTTCCCAAGTGGATACTTAGATTTGACACAAGCTTACACTGTTGTTATGCAAGGAAGATTACAGCAGTCAGACTCAGAGCAGACCAAACTTACTTTTCTGGTATGTAAAGTTTCTTCTTCTTCAGTAATAACAGAGCGACGGCGTAAGTCGGCAATCTCATATCTCGTTTGCGGTGACTGAAAATATCCGCCTCCATGTTATTTTTTTAAAAGAGAACAAATTGACATCATTCCTTGAAGTTTTTGCAGAATTTTCTTTGCACAGAGAAGAAAAATCACGGCAGTTTTTAAGAATTGCCTTTGAGTAGTTTTCCGATTAAAAAATCAAGTATGACAGGAAGTCTGCGATGTTGCAAACCAAGTTATGTGATTGCTGACATACACCGTCGATAGGTCTACTGTCAAAATGAGGTAAAAATCACATCATCATGGTTCGTTGGAGATTTTTAGGGCTGAATCTGAAAGTATCATTCATTTTTTCCCCAGCATATAACAACTTTCCAGGACATCTAAGTTTTCCCTTAAAAAATTAGGATTTCGGGAGAAAATTCGATATTTTAGAAAATCAGCTCATAAAAAAAAAAAAAACAATGATCCTCTTGAGTTGACTCGCTTACTAAACATTGCCAAGATAGCCTTTAAGTAAGAAAATATGACAACCTCAATCTAAGCGCTTCTGCTCAGCGGTTCCAAGTTGTCTACTCTTGAAACCAGACAAGGTGGAAAAAGAATACTGCTTGATTGAGAAGCCTGCCAAAACTGTTATAGTGTGCGATTTGATTCAATCAAACTCTTGACTTCTTGAGCAAATTTAAATATTTTGTAACCAATGCCGAATAAAAAAATTAATATTAATATCCTGGTTGGAAATTAATTTCAGTCATTTTTGCTGTGCAAATCGTGTTTTCTTTGAGATTTTGAAGAGAAAATATGCATCAAAATGCTTAAATTTTTACCTCGTGTCTATTGACTTCTATCTTATCAATAGCTGGTATCTTTTTCCTTTCTATTTGAAAAATAACCCTCCTGCTTTTATTCTTTTATCATTATTTTTTCGTTTTTTTTCTAGACGTATTTGAACAACGGTGAACAGAGTACAGAGTATGTGAACACTTTGGTCAAAGGTCTGTGTGAAGAAGTGCAATGCTACACAGAGCAAGAAAGGGCCAAGTTAGATAGCTGTTTAGCAGGCTTAAGTGCAGTGACTGCAAGCCTTGGAGCTGTTGCTGATTATGGAATGCAGCAGTTGCAGGTTTCAGCAATTAAACCTCGAGTCGGACCTTGGGTGGATACGTTCCTAACCATGAATCATCAGTTATCAGAGGTAAGACTGATTTAATCAGTCGCCCGCGTAACACTGACATGCGTTTTTCTTTTTTAAATAGGTACTCCTTAAAAGATGATCTCTCTTGGCTGGACATCAACTCTTCATTAGAATCTGTGAATGGTGAATCAGCCATCACCGAAATTGAAAATTAAAAAAACAAAAGTTTGTGCCAACTAATCATGTCAGTTCAAAATACATTCCTCAGTCAACATAATGTTGTAATATAATTTATGTGTCGTCAAGCAATATAATATGTAAAGTTCATTTTCCATTTGTCAATTTTACTAATTTCGAGTCTTAAATTTTTTGCAAGTGATGAGAAATAAAAATAATCGGATCCTCCTGACAGTCATAACTGATGATGGCTGGATCACTAACCAAAACGTCTCAGTCTTTTCTTTGATATTTTCAGGCTTGTTTTCCACATGTTGAGTTTTTTTCCTTACTTTCAAGTGTTTAGTTAGATTATGTCCTCATCTTGAATTTTTGTGTTATTTTCTCATTCTCAGGATGAATTTGCGTCTTATGAAGCTAATGAGCCTTTTGTTAGAAATCTGATAATGAATTTAGAAACTCTATTGTCTGAATTCAAAAATAGGCTACTGCCCAATAACTATGATTCTTTAATCACAATTCTGGCGGTAGAGGTATCGTCTCAAATTGAAAAAGTCATTTTAAAAACAACTTTCAATCGGGTAAGTTGACCTATTATTTTTATTTATATCTAATTTTCATTTTCTTACCTTGGCATTAAAACTTCTGGTGCGACTTTTTTACTATTAATTTTTTAGCAATTATTTTTCTTTCAAATTACGCACCCATTTTAACCTTGTAATTATTTTGCTACCCTGCTTTTTTGCTTTTACTTCTAGCTTTGACAAGAGCATGTTTTTGTCCAGTCATTACTGTACATAACATACATACATATGAGTCGCTTTTACAGCGCTCTTTGGCGCTTTATGACGCCTAATCGCCACAAAGCTCGGTCTTCCCACAGGTCATCAGGGGATTGATGAAATTTTGTCTTTATTCTAACGGATGGTCGTCAAACATTAAAACATGAAACATACCCATTTATCTTCCGAGGATGAAAGCCAGCTCTATGCGCTCTTGTGGTTGGTTGTTCAGGCATCTGCTTCTCTTGTGCTTGTCCTACCTTACAAATTTTGGCCAGCCTCTCATCTCTCATCCTATGTACAAGCTCAAAGCAATCCCATCTTTTAACGCTGATCCATTAACTACATCCTACACCTCACATCCATTGGGCATGAATGCATTTTTCAACCGGTCTCACATAGTAAATCTGGCTACTTTTCTAAGGTTTCTCCTCCCCATAGCCCAAACCTGTTGCTTGGTATGATGTTTTGCTAAACGGGTTTCACCAACATTTTTTATAACAGACAACTTTTCTTGTTAATACAAAAACAACTTGAAATGGGACCATTGCCAAAAACAAAACAAAAATTAAAAAATTAAAAAAAAATTCTGGGATGTTTAGTGCACCCGTATTCTTAACCAGCAAAAAAAAGAAAGAAAAAAAAAACAGCGAGAAATCAAAAAAAAAAACACTCATTGTTTACTTGTTAAAGTAAGCAAATTATGATATGGGTGCCTGATGGGTTGTACTGTCTTTCTAGAGCAGTCGCATTTGCTTTTCATTGATGTATTTTTTTTTTTTTTTTTTTATTTGGTGCAGCTTTTCATCAAACCATTTTAATCAATTGTCCTGTGATTACATAGCTCTTTGATAAGTCAACCTTTCAAATTATTGTAAGTTAAACTGTCATTTGCAGGTCAATCGATAACTAATTAATGTTCTAAAGTAATTAATATGCACCTTGAATAACGATTTATTGAAGCATGTTACCAGTAAATGGAATGACTGAAGATCTTCGAAGTAGTAGTCTCAATATTAAAGGCATCGGTTCAATGTCCGCTTGCTCTCTATCTTCACTCAGAAAAATTATAGCAATCCAATGTTTGATTTTTTTACTTAAACGTAATTACCCTGGTTCAATTATCATTTGTTTTTTTTTTATTTCAAATGTCAAGTTCATTTTATTATTTTTTTTTTTGCCAATTTCAAAGTGATGAATGCTAAGAGATAAAATTGTGATCCCTGCCTTTTTCAAATTGTTCCAAATCTTTTAAGGTAAGTGAGTTAATCAGCCAAACCCTGAGTTCTGGTCCCAGTTTTAAGTGAAAGTCATCTACCTTACGAACTATTATTTTCTGAATTTTTCTTTCTGTTACGTTTTCATTTATTTTTCATTAATTTAATTTGTTTTTCATCCATTAATTTTTTTCAAATTTTATTTGTATAGACACATGTGTTCATTCTTTATATTCCCTACCTTTTGAAAAATTGTGAAGAATCACAGGAGTCTTGCAATTTTGGAGCTTTTTACTCTGATTTTTAATTGTACGAACTAGAAATGTTCACTTTTTGGTTCTCAAAAATTTCAAATTTTCCCCCAAAACAGTTTTCTTATCTTTTCAAATGTAGATTAAAAAAATGTCAGTTGCTGATAATTTTCAGTAAAATTACGAGTCTCAATATAAAAAAATCAGATTCATTTTTTGTGTATTTAACTTAGCTGTGTTAGGTATTCAAGGCATTTAAGATTTTTTTATTAATCATATTTAATGTATGTGTTTTGATTGAGTTTTTTTTTCTTTTTTCTTTTTCAGTTGGGTGCTTTAGCTCTTGATAAAGAGATTCGAGCTCTTGTGAGTTACCTCAGCAAAGCAACAACTTGGTCAATCAGAGATAAATTTGCACGATTGACGCAAATTTTAACTGTCCTTAATTTGGAGAAAGTCTCCGAAATTACAGACTACTGGGGCTCCTTATCTTGGCGCCTCACACCAGCAGAAGTTCGGCAATTTATGGGTTTAAGGTAATATTCTTAATGAACCACTATTCATATATCCATTCAACTCTTTGGATTTTATCTCACAGAATTCACTGGGCTTTTCCTCAAGTTTCTACCATTTAACTTTCTCAAAATCTGAACGATAGTTCATTTCTCCACCTAGTGGGCGAAGAATAACTGAAATTTGGTCTCTAATTTAACTAATCTTGCAATGTAGTTTCTACATATTAAAACATCGTTTTTAATGTAAAAATGACCTTTTGGTTTTTAAGTGCATAGTTATCTTTACACAATTAAGAATTTCCGGAATCTTACTTTGATGAATTTTATTTATGAATGGAAACTGCCAAGAAAACGGAACAAAACAATATTCTTTGTTTCTGAAATAGAATATAATTGGAAAAGTTATGGCAGAATTATTCAATCTGCTGAAATGCCTGTCTCAATTTGAGAAATGCCGCTGTATGACATCAAAAAGCTATATATTTTTTTTACTTTTTAATTTACTGTTCTTCAATTTCTCACTGCAAAAAAAAAATTGTAAGAAATATAGTGAATGCAGCTCATCTAGATCATTCAAATGATGCAATGTTTCCATTAACATGTACGGAATGAAATATTTTTCCATCTGTTTTCAGGATTGAATTTAAATCAGATGAAATCAAAAGGCTAAAACTTCAGTGATCAACTACACTTCTTTGTTTCCTGCCACAATAAGTGCTCTCCTCCAGAAACCGGTGGTTTGATGTAAGTATTTCAAAAATAATCTAAAGTCCTAATTTTGTACCTCTGCTGATTTATTGTATCAGTTGAACTTGAATGAGTCATTTGCAAGTAGCTATAAAAATACGTAGGTATTATTTTTGGTATTCATTTAGATGGCATGAGTGAAAAAAGTCATCAAAATATTTTTTATGTATTTGCAATACAACTTTAATAAATTGATTTCTTAAAATTTTTCGCTTTATTAATTCTAATTGTTATTCCCCCTCTCCCTCTCCCTATTTTTTTTTTTTTTTTTTTTTTCTTTCTACATCCACATAATAACATCATATTACGTTGAAAAGTATCCTCCAATGTTGAAGCTTCTTTTACAGCTCAATGTGGAAAGTAATTAGAAATGTAAATTAAGTGATTTTTTCTTTTGGCAATTATCTCAGTTTGGTCTCAGTGTGGTGCACGTTTAAAACGATATTTTTGGAGGGCGCTGATGATGTAGCCAGGCGGGGGAAATGGCGCTTGCTGGTTGGCTGAACTCATATTTAGGTATCGCCTTGCTGCGTCAACTTAGCTGTCGTCATTTAATTGGTCGGATTTTGATTATCTTTTCCTCCCCTTAGAAATGATTTTTTTGAGCCTTTCAACGAACTTTTTGGTATTTTCACGCGAAACTTTCGCAATCGGTATGCTTAGAGCAACGGAGATGGATTTCTGGAGGAAGTCGGCCGGAATTTCTAGGAGAGATCGGGTCCGTAATGATTGAGTATTGAAGTCGAAAATTACATCTAATTCGACGTCATGACTTAGCAGCTTGCTGGCATGGTCATGTTAACAGGATGACGGAAGAGAGGTTGCCGATGAAGATGCTTGATTGGCCTCCTCCTGGGAGGCCTCCTGGGAGGAGACGAATGGGGCGCCTAGTGACAGGGTGGCGACTCGGGGTTTCAGAGGAAATGGGGGAGCACCAAACTCCCTGACCGGGTGTGGGAGGACCGTGTACTCTGTGCCCGTTAAGGGCCGTTCAAGTGTTACGTAACGTACCTAGGAGGGGACGTCAGAGTTGAGCCAGCGTTACGGTGCGTTACAAGGAGAGAGGGGGACAAAACATTTTGAAAAAATTGAAAATCCCCAACTTCCCGAATGAATCTTTTCGGAAAATTGGGGGGTGGGGTCAAGCCAGCGTTACGTTATTCAAAAAGGGGTGCAGGGCTGCGTTACCGGCGTGTGTTTCAAAGGGGAAGGGGGGGCAAAATACCGGGAAAACTGCGTTACGTACTATTTGAACGGGTCCTCAGGCGTCGCAGAGCGCAGAAGAGCGCTACGAAAGCGACTCTTAAGTATGTATGTACGAAACTTTTCGTATGCTATAGCGTAGAATCCCGCAAAAATTCCTTGGCACCGACCGACATGATGGAATCTTGGAGTGGCTCCGAGTTGAAAGACGGCGGCGCGGCGCGGCAACTCCGGTTATGATAGAGAGTTTTATTTGGCCCTTGAGAAATGACGGGGTTC